AAATCGTTTAGATTAGCTTTCGTTGCATAATTCTTGGAATTGGTCCCAGTTGGCGTTTTTGTACTGAAATTTAGGTTCCTGTTTAGGGGTTTGATTTGGTATTTTTATATTTCCTAGGGTTATATTTATGGGAAAGTGGTCGCTGCCTAGAGGTACTGGGTGGACGTCCCACATCAGACTTTGTGCTAAGTCTGGCGTACATATTGTTAAGTCGATAGCCGACATGGTGTGGTGGATTTTGTCGTATCTAGTTGGTTGGTTATTGTTTAATAGTATTAGGTCATTTTTTTCGATCCACTCTGATATTAGTTGTCCATGGTTGTCTAGTTTATCTGCAATGCCCCAGGTAGGATGATGGGCATTGAAGTCTCCTAGGAAGATGGTTGATTTATTTCCTAATTGGTAAAGGATATCTAGGTCTGTATCTTTAATTGGTTTTAGTGTTGAGTGATAGATGTTAATGATTTTTATTTTTTGGTTATTGATGGTGACTTGGATTCCATTAGCTTCTAGATTAGGAGTGTTTACTTTAACTTCCTCGTAGTTAATATCCTCTCTAACGTAGATGATTAGACCTCCTCCTGTTCTGCCTGGGATGGTTTTGGACCTGTCGGTTCTTACTGCGTTATAATTTGGTAGGTTGAATTTAGTTTTATGTGAGAATTTGGTTTCTTGAATACAAGCTACATGGGGACCTTTATCTATTTTGAATTTAGCTTTAAGTTCAGAACCATGGCCGGCGAGGCCATTGGCATTCCATTGAAAAATGTTTAGGCCTTCCATTGGGAAACTGGGTGGATTTATGTTTGGTTTAGGCTTGGTTTAGGTATTTACTTTAGTAGGTTATTATGGTTGCTGCTGAAACGGTCGAAAGAGGTGGTGACGAGTTTAAGTTTATGTGCTACACCAAAGAAGGCTTTGGAGCTGGCTTCTGGATTGGACTGCTTTAACATGTAAGCTAGTAGGAGGACTAAGTTGTTTAGTTTTTTGCTTGCTACGTTTTGGGTGAGTTTTTTTCTATAGCTTTTGGTTTTTGGGGCTGACAAGGTAAGATCGTTTATTTCCTCTGAGGATGTGTACTCGTCCTCTTCGGTTAAGTTATCTTTAGTTTGGTCACTCTCTTCGGTGGTGGGTTGCACGCTGGGTTTGGGTGAGAGAGTCTGAGTGGTTTCTGTAGTTTCCCTGTTGACTGGGTGTTCGGGGGGTGCCTGTAGGTTTTGGAGTGTTGTTGCCCTTGTGGCTGTGATGGCTAGTGTTTGTGCTGGTTGTGTGGTGGTCGTTGTGCGTTGGGTTTTGCTTGCTGGTGTAGATGTGGTAATTGTGGGGTGAGAGGCGGGGAGGGTGAGAGTGTGAGTTTGTGGGATGTGTGGGGTGTTTGTTTCATTTGCGATGTATGCGTCTCGCTGATTTTGGTCCCATACGGAGATTGGGTATACTGTTTTGCGTGCGTTAGTGTTGTTGTTTGGGGGTGGTGTTGGTAGTAGTTGTTTGCATGCTTTCGGTGTGGGTTTTTTGGTTTGGATTTTGGCTGTGTTTATGTCTATATGTCTGTTGGCCTGTTGGGTGAGTGATAGTCTGTGGGGGCATTGGTTGGAGAGTGATGAGTGTTTTATGGATTTGCAATGGATGCACCAGGGTGTGCATATGCCTGGACTGTCCGTTTGGACACAGTTTTTGCATTTAGTTTTTTTGAAAGTACATTGGTTAGCGGTGTGATTATATTGTAGGCAATTGGAACATTGCTTTACTTGCTTGATGTATGGTTTGACCTCTAAGTTATGGTTAGCGCCGAAAGTGATATGTTTGGGGGCTTCAGGGTGTTTAGCTGTTTTTTTTAAGTTTATTATTACAATAGGTGTGGGGGTGGTTTTCCCGTTTCTGTTTGATTTAATCCTGCGGAGGCTAGTTATTTGTGGTTGGGTTTGGATAGTGTTAGCTTCTTGGGCGTATATGTCGAGGTCCTCGTCGGTTTCCCTTGGGTGCACTCGAATAACTCCCCTAGTGTATATTTGCCAGTTAGGTTTAGAGCTATTTACGGTGAATTGGAATATTTGTTTAATTTTAGTTGCAGCTATGTAGAATTCCTGATTTGGGAAGATTATCTGATATCCTTTGAAGCTACGTTTGATGTTTAGGTAATTGATTTTTTGTTGCCTTAGCCACATGCCTATTTTATTTATGGTTAGTGTTGGAGCTAGTTGTACAGAGGGGGTGGCCGAAAAAAAGTAGAGGGCCCACGTGGTGATGAGGGCTGCGGGTGAGAGGGTGTGTGAGGTAGGTGATGCTGATGGGTCTAGTTTGCGTTTTTTTTAGTTGCATGCTTGGGGAGGTGGGGTGCTGGGTTGGGTTTCCATGTAGGAGGCTTGAGGGTCTTCATCGCCGTAGCCTGTGGGAATGAGTGTGGTTGTTGCCCTGTCGGAGGTGTTGTGCGCCTCCGCAGGTGTAGGGGATGTAATGCCAGAGATTTCGCTTATCTCGATTTGTCTTTGGTCTGCCATACTGGGATTTGGTGTATAGGATGTGTGTTTGAGTTGTGGTGTTTGAGGTGAGGGGTTGTGGATGGAGTGTTTTGGAAGGGGTGAGTAGTGTTTGCGGTGTTTTGGTTGTTTTGGGTTTGTGAGTTGTTTAAAGCTTTAAGAGATTAATTAGAGGGCTTGTGTTTTAATTTGAAGTGTTTGAGTTTGTTTAGGTGGGCTTTGTGAGGTTAGTTTTAGGTTCTCTGCTAGAACTTGGCTACAGTATGTATTTAACAAAAGTTTGCTCAATAAAAAGGAATGTGATTGGTTGATACACGATTGGTTGTGTCCTATGCTAAATGGATGGCTAGACAGAGGGGAATACTTAATCCTGTTAATCCTGTTGGACTGGCACTAATCTTGTTGACATATTTACTGGATGCTTTGAAAGAGATTAGGGTGTCACTATAGATGAGCTTGTGTGGGGGCTAATCCTTAATGCCCTATAGACGAGCTTGTATGGGGGCCAATCCTTAATGCACTATAGACGAGCTTGTATGGGGGCTAATCCTTAATGAGTCTTAATTGAAGTAATGTTATTCTAATATACCCCGGTAGGTGATGACAGATATACTTAAATAAAATAGTTCCAGGTAATCTATAAGACTATGTAGACATATCCTTTGTCTGGGAGATGGGATCTTGACAACTTAGCTAGGCTAGCATTTATCTAAAAGCTTCAAATCAATTCACTATGTAGACGTAACTCTTATTTTATTGAATAGTATGTCTAGAAGATGTGCTCCCATTACCTTAGGCTAGCAACTATCTAAAAAGCTATAACTGAAACTACTGATATTTTATATATACATTTTACCTGATGATAAATATTACTTGCTAAACTATAATTATATGAAATGATGTATAAATATTACACCATGATAACTCATAAAAGCACTTGATGTGGATCTAATTATTATAGGATAACTTAGTATAAATGTTATCCCATGATAGTTCTAAGAATACTACCTCTATTACATCCAAAGTACTCCTACCCACTTCCCCATTTCATCTACCTTAGGGGGGAAAAAAGTGATATTATGACTTGGGTAGTTACAAGACTACATGGCGACAGCTAATTGTGTTATTGACCGTGAAGAGGACGTCAGTTGAAAATCTGAAAATTTTAGTTAGTGTGATTTAAACCAAAATACAGGCTTTCCCCCCCCCCCCCCGGGATCCCACTCACCGTACCCACAATTTGCCATTTTGTCTGTTCCTCGAGATACTGTCTCGGAGGCATTTTTAAGAGTTTGCTCAGCTAAATTGCATTGTGATTGTAAGTTCCCATATAGGCGCACATACATGTACTTTGACTTCTGTGTGCATTTGCATCAGTGCTGTTCATGTATGATGTGAAATTTTATTGTGATTAGATGTTGCATTCAAATGTAGTTCCACAGTATCATGAATGAACACCTCAACGACAGCTACACCTAAATCATTAGTTCCCTTACTTTTTGTCAGTAGTATATACTCCAGGGTTTTTTGTGTGTTATTTTATATTTTGACTGTCGCATTTTAACCACATTGAAAGTTAAAACTTCTTATGGATGTATCACTTATAGATTTGGTGAGTAATAGTGCATTAATGATAATGATTTTAATTATATTTATATATTTTTATATATATAAGTTTAAGGTAATAATTTACCATATATGTTGATGAATTTATGTTTTATGCAGAGAAAAGCACAAAAAATGCATATATTGGTGGAAAAGGCATCCAAAAGATACAATTATCAAACATTCAATTAGCTTTCTAAAATATTCATATAATGACCAAGTCATGTTAATAAGTTCTTACTTATACGGGGCGGTCGGGTAGCCTAGTGGTTAAAGCGTTCGCTCGTCACGCCGAAGACCCGGGTTCGATTCCCGACATGGGTACAATGTGTGAAGCCCATTTCTGGTGTCCCCCGCCGTGATATTGCTGGAATATTGCTAAAAGCGGCGTAAAACCATACTCACTCACTCACTCTTACTTATACACTAAATAGTAAGGGAGATATTGGCCAAAAAGGAACTGTACTCAATATGAGCTGATGCACAGTCTACGGTACTCCACTGATTCGAAGCATATGTACTAGCGGATATGGAGCAGCAGATAAAGCACTGTAATCATTGAGTTGTACTTTCTGTCTTATTATCAGATGGATGTTCAGTGGTACAAGTGCTATCACTGTAAAAGTGCTGACAGTACTGCTCAACTTCATGCTGTACAGCTTCCCATTGGGTGTACCGGTAGCTGTAACTGAAAAAATATCTTGATACAAAATCCCAGAACCCCCCTGAATATCAAATGGTTGGTCACTAAATGGCTCTGTGACTGCGTGTCGTACCCCAACGACAGTCTGCTCCTTCATCAATTATTTACAGAAAGCCATCATATAGCTGGAATATTGCTGAGTGCAGCAGAGCCAGAAGCAAATCAATCCAATGAAAAGTAATTTTATTGATAATTGTCATTTGTTTGTTTCCCAGGAACAAAGTTGGTCATGCTGACAGATGGTAGGAGAACAAGAAGATTGTCCCTGAACATTTGGAAGATTACCGATGACTACAGTACATACCGTCCAAGAAATATTGTCATATTTGTGTCCGATCAGGTGCCATTTTTAGAAAGACACTGAATAATTAATAGTGATTCACATCATAAATTATGTTTTGTACCATTAGAAATAAAGTAATGAAGTATTGTGATCATTCTTTCTGTCTTAAAATTAAAGCCAGAATCATTTTTATTCTTACGAAGACAAAAACTATATTTTATCTGAGATAGAAATCCTGTATTTAAGTAATCATTACACTATAAAATCGACAGATTTTCAACACAGGGCTCCTTCACTCTCAACTATACATCATCAGTAAAAGTATCTTGTAACCCATGCCTCATGCGCATGTGTGAGGTGGAAAAACCTCACTTCTATTCTGTTTGTGCTAGTGTCAAGAACTACCGGGTAAACATTTTCCTGAGCTGTCATAGCACATTAGTTTGGAAGTTGTCATACCATAATTGTATCTTCAATGTAACATATTCTAATAAGACTAGATAGTTATTATCCTACGCTACACATGAAGAGGATTAATATATATTTACCTTATACACATTGTTACTATGTGCTAACATGTTGTGGGCCTCAGATGGTGTCTCCTTTGTCAGATGTGTGGACAATTTAAGATCACTGCAAAGCTTCACTAGTCCTGCTGGATATGCTGATCTAAGTACTGTCACCATCACACATGCAGGCTGAAAAAGCTTCCCCATGAGGTCTTAAGGGGGAGCAAGTGTCATGGCCAGGTGAAATGTAGCAGAGAGACACCATGGTAGATAATGTCACCACGGCTTAAGAACCATGTCATGTCCATGTCAAGTCGAGTCTCCTTATAGTTGTTGCTTTGTTTTCATTCAATCAACACATTCCCAATATTGGGACTTACAGAACTGGTTTCTGAGAGGGATATATCAAGTCTTCCCACCTTTTTGGGGTATTCAGACAGATCCTGGTCAGTGTGATACATTGTCTTCGTGATAGCATTGTTAAATGCAGGAAGAATCACTCACTATATGTAGATGTTGAGCAGATTAACTTGGTTACAGTCCTTATGTTCGGCAGCCCACAGAGTCTCAACCAGTGATAATTTTTGTCCAACATCTACATTGAGGCATACAGGTCTGCTCTCACCTCAGTTCTCCAACACAATGGACTACCTATAGGAGATCATCCCATCCTCAACGGACTCTTGTCTCTTTCTTTTGGAGGATGTCAAGACTCCATGGACATTCCCAAAATGGATCCTGTCATTTTGCTCTTTTAGAAGAACTGTATGAACCTTTGCAATAAGTGACATTGTTGCAATAGACCATGGAAACAGCATTCTACCTGCCATGAACACAGCAGCTGGAGTATCAGAGTTCCATGCTCTTCAAGTCTCAGCCCTCACACATGCAGAGGATTGGAATTCAAAGTTCTAAGGCAAGAACAAGTTCACACCTCTGGGACCTCACAGACATAACACGATCCATGGACTCAAAGAGGCCTGGAGTTGCCTGAGTGACATCTCTGTCCTGGTCGTGTGCTTCAATTTCACTTAAAATTGTCTGAAGTTAACAAAGAAAAAATTTATTGAATTTGTTTTTGGTTTTCTTGTCTCAAAATGCAGAAGACTGTTCTCCAGAGTATTACTAGTTGTCAGAGGCCATCGGTCCTTTTGGTATATTCTGACTATGATGTAATTGAGGTTTTGAATTCATAAGAATTATTAAACAATAGTTTATCATTGTTAATAATTCAGAGAATGCTAACTCTATTACATCAGGAGTAATCCCACGGATCTCAGCATCAAGATGGAAGATTTTTTATTTTTTGCCTCATGCATCCTCAGATGTTTAGGAAGAGAGATACTATTTGTATCTCAACTGGACATGAATAGTTGACAGTGAATGGGACTTTTGAAAATCTGAAGATTTTATAGACAGCTGAAATACAGGATTTATAGCTATGATGTATTTGAGGTAGTATTCTCTGCTATTAACAATAAAACAATGATATTGTTTGATGTTTCTTGCTTGAATGATTTTCCTGTTGATTTGAGAACATGTTGAGTTTACTAAGAAAGAATCAGTGGTCCATGTAACATAATAATTTGGGATATTATTTTCCCTCAAACTGACTCTTTAATTAAACATTGGAACACAACCCCTTTGTGTTGGTGTTTCAAATTAGCACACACAAAATAAAAAGAGTACCTTTCAAATCAGAATCATATGTTTTTCTATTTTTGTCATCAGAAGCACCTGTCATGCAAACTTCACATAGTTTTTTTTTTCCCTTGATGTCTTAATGTCAAAACCAAAGATTACGTATACTCTTCAAAAAAGGAAATGCGAAGTCAGATTTGTGTGAGGTAGGAAAATACATTTATACGAGGAATCGTACAAGGTAATGAGCCAAAATGTTGTGGAGAGAACACTTGGTGATTGCAGTCATCTCAGTTAACGGTACATAGGAAAACTCCAAGGTGAAGGTCAGCTACCGTCAATAACGCATATGTCCCCCGTTGGAATCGATAGCGGCCTGACATTTCCTGCCCATGGAAGAGTGGGTGAGTATGGTTTTACACCGCTTTTAGCAATATTCCAGCAATATCACGGCGGGGGACACCAGAAATGGGCTTCACACATTGTACCCATGTCGGGAATCAAACCCTGGTCTTCGGCGTGACGAGCGAACGCTTTAACCACTAGGCTACCCGACTGCCCCGCCCATTGAAGAAACGAGTATGCATAACATTCAGGGGAATGGTAGCCCACTCGACCTTCAACGCAAAAGCAAACTGCTGCAACGTCCCATCTTCCCGAGGAAAGGGAGTTAACTGACTATAGAAGCCCAGTTCCACCCTTGCCAAACTTGGCTGGTATTATGGAGTTACATTTTGGCCGAACAAACGAGTCTATGCATAGTCCAATCAAAATCGCACATCGAAATGGAAATCCAGTTAGTAAACTATCATGCAGATTTCGGTTGATTGCAGGATTTGCAAAGCATGTGCACCGCCAACTCGTTGTCAACTGATATTTTCCAAGTCTTTCCACGTTTTTAATCAAGGGGCTCACGTGATTTGATGCACTTCGCGAGATAAGACCCGTGTTATCACAATAATCCTAGTTAGTCAAGGTTTGAAACTGGACTTTTACAGTCAGTTAACTCCCTTGCCTCAGGAAGATGCAAAGTTGTGGTTGATGTCGGCATAGCAGTCTAACCAATTCATCCCACAGATGCTCTATCGAGTTCAAATCCAGGGAGGGTAAGGGGAGAACATTAACATTGTTGTTGTGTAGACAGGCTCTTGTGATCCGTGCTGTATGCAGTCAAGCGTTGTCCTGTTGGAATACACTGTTACCGTTGGCTGCAATTGGGAGGAAGTGTGGTAGGAGAATTTTGTTGATGTATCGTTGAGGCGTAAGATTGCCCTGGATATGGACCAAACCTGTCCTGCCATGATGAGAGATAGCCGCCAACATCATAACGCTACCAGAACCATACCTGTCCACTCCCAGTATGCAGTTTCTGGCGTAACGTTCTCTCCGATGTCTGTAGTACCGTGCTCTTCCATCCCCTCGACGGATGAGAAATCTTGATTTATCGCTGAACCAGACATCTCTCCATCGCTGTTGAGGCCATACCCTGTGTTGCTGATGATGTTGTCGACTCAATATGACACGTCTAACAGGACACCTTGCTCATAGACCTGTTGCTCTTAAGGGGCCGTCACACCATGACGTTCTGGTCAACGTTCTCTGAGCGTTCTAGAATGAGGATGAGACATCTGGCGTGTGATTAACGTGTGCCTAACGCATGACTAGCGTGTGTCTAATGCACGAGAAGCGTGTAACAGCGACCAAGTAAGATACCCCTGAAAACCATTAGCGTGTGCTAACGTGCCACTGGCGCGCGACGAACGATTTGTCAACGTTAGATGAGCGTGTTGAGCGTGTGACTAACGTGTGAATAACGACAGAATAGCGTCTTGCTGGCGTGTTTGACTTTAGTCACACGCTGCGTGCGCTAGGGGACCGTTCAGCAGTCGTTGACAGGTCGCCAGTGAGTCGTTCAATGCAAAGCAAACGATTAGTAACAACCAAGTAACGCTAGAGTAACCACTGACTAACGATAGCCGAACGCGTGCAACGCTCGGCGAACATTAGTAAAACGTTCCACGAACGTTCTTAAACGTTCTTCAGCGTTTAAAATTAAACGTTGAAGAACGCTGGTCTCAGTGAGAACTTTTGTGCATGTTCAAAACTTTTTTTCCGGACCAGCGTTCTCCGCCGATTCCCGGCGATCACCGACGTTCACTAGCGTTCACACAACGCTCTTCTGGCGCTATCCCAGCGACCATGGGCGACTACCAACGTTTACTCAAACGTCATAGAACGCTGACCAGAACGTCATGGTGTGACGGCCCCATTAAACAGTTTTGTACAGTCTGGTAGAAGATTCCGCGCAGTCTGGGTATTTGAGATGCGGTTGAGGTTGTTGTGGTCGTCCTTTCACGTTGGTGGCGCAGTCGGATGTAGCGATCTTGGGCGGGGATGGTTACTCTTGGTCGTCCCGGATTGGCCGATCACGTGTTTACCCATGCTGTTAAAACTGATGCCAAAGCCTTGTAATGGTGCTGGGCGCTACATTGAAAATCCTGGCTACAGCTGATCGGTATTCCCCAGCCTGCAAGCAGCCTATGACATTTTTTCTTTGCACTTCTGTTAAACTTGGCATGTTGTTGAACTGTCTCTGTTCGATTGACGCAGATGCCAGGCAATCAAAAACTGTGCACTTTAATACTGTTCTTAGTGCCGCTGCACGTGCACTGCGTGCAGCTCCATGGCCCTTTTGTTTATGTACTGTTTGTTTGTTTGTGTGTTTTTCCGAATCGTACGTATTTCTGACTAATGGTTTGCATGTCCTTTTTGCGATCATTTTGATGCGGGAAATTTGTCACTGATACTATGACACATTAAACCTCTTCATTTTCACCTCTAATTTTGCTTTTATGGCCAAAAATATCCGTATTGCGCTTCTTTTTTTGAAGAGCATATTACAGACATGACTGCTCCCCTTCGTCTTGTGTTTTGAGTGTTACTTTTGGCATATCTTTACTCTATAGTTTGTTTGCAAAGAGTTGTTTCTGTCTTCTATTAG